TGATTGAAATCGGCACAACCGTTTGGCACTAGTAGCGTTTTGAAATGTTGCCAGAAAAAGATAAAAATTACCTCTTAATGACCTTTGACCCCTTATCCCTGAACACCCTATAGACCCTGCCTTATGCCAATGTATATGTGCAAAGGACAAGACTGTGCTACGTTGTGTGTGAGACAAGTAGTCTTTAATACGATTTTTGGTTTTTTGATCCTAATGCCCCTTATGTGACCTTTGCACTAAGTTGTGAACAACACATAAATTGGAGGTGGCACCGGTCCTACTGACCAAGTTTTAATTAAATTGGTCCGGTAGTTTGCCACTAGTAGCCTTTTAAAACGTTGCCAGAAAGAAAGAAACTGCTAGGAAACAGAACCCAGTCGGCATGGTGCTGACTGGGTAAAGAAAGAAACTGCTAGGAAACAGAACCCAGTCAGCATGCTGCTGACTGGGTAAAGACACAACCATTTCTCTGACATTTGAATAATTTTATTGAAGTCTATACTTGTATTGAATTATGTATGTAGATGCAAGCCAGGTTTCTTCAACTTGCAAAGTGACGATGAGTTTGGATGTCTAGCCTGCTTCTGTCATGGCCATTCCTCTGATTGTACTTCCATTCCAGGCTACGAAGATGACAAAATAGAGAGCAGATTCAGTGGAGGTATGGCTGTTGTTTTATTTATTCCCATCTCAATACTAAAGTATGCCACTGGCTTGTTTCTCTACATTATACTTGTAGGCACAATGCTTGATATCTGACAATACAGTAGCATCTTTCAATTACGAACCTCCCTATTACAAACTCTGAATTTTACGAACTCGATTTGCGGCAATGACATTACAAACAATCTTTTTTAACTGCAAAAACACCTAAAATTTTATTTAAGAATCTTTAAAATAATATAAAGTGTTACCTTAGCTAAAATAGGAAAACATTTAAACCAATAAAGCAAGAAATATCCATCGTTTTCAGCCAAGATATACTCTATATAAGATTCTGATATCAGTGGGCT